ACCCCCGCGCTTCAAGACGGGGGGCCAGGTCCTCCCAGCCCCCGCGACCCGATGCCAACGGAAGCAGAGCAGCGCGAGAGCAGTCTTGAACGGGGACGGGCCCTGCAGGCGGCGCTGTCAGACGGTGGACCCACGCCCGCAAAGGCACCCGACGAACCGGCACGCAAGTCCCCCCAGACCGAGATGCACACCAGCCCCGCCCACCCTCCGCCGCACTCGCCCGTGGCACCAGACGCCTGCGATGGGCGGAAAGCCCCCCCCCCCCCGCCCCCACCGCATTGCGCACTTACCGATCGGGTACATTCCCCACCCCACCCTTCATGACGCACTCTGCTACAAGACCCGGCAGTCCATCAAATGGCACCGCACGTGGAACTACGAGGCCCGAAGAAAGGAGAACTGGCTCGAGGTCGTCAACCGACTCGAGAATGCGGCACCATGCTGGTGATCGGCTGGATCGCCCTCTGCGACTGCAAAGAAGGCCGTCATGGGGTCACGTACAAGCCCGAGGGGAAACACCAGATTTGCGATGATTTCGTGCGCCAGCTCATCGAAGAAGACTTCGACATCCGCAATCGGTGCTGGAGGCACGGCCTTCAGATCGACTGGCACCAAGCCTGGGACAAGCAGATGGAGAGAAGGGGGCGTCTTCCTGGGCAAGGCAGAGGCAACGAGAAGGGGCCTGAGCCTCGTGGGAAAGGCAAGCGCCGAGCTGACCCCAGCAACGAGCCATCGGGGCAACGTCGCCCGGGGAGCCCCTCCCAGTCCACCGAACTGTCCTGGGCCCACACCACGCCGGCGCTCGCCAGAGCCCTGCTGCCTTGGCCCCTGCCTTCTGCTTCGACTGCAACAGCAGCCTGGGCACTCACGTACTGAGCTGCTGCTCCCCGACCCCCCCCCGTGGCCGCCCTGCGCGGCACCTCTGGCGCTTGCGCCGTGCCATGAGGTCGCGCGTCCCCCCAGCCTCGGACCCTCTTCCCCCCCGGGGGAGGGCCGCCCCAGTGTGGTTAGGTCCGCTGCCGCCTCCCCCTGGTGGCCAGACGCCTGCACCTTCCCCCGACGATTGCACCAGTTCGGTGCCTCCCTCCCCAGGAGACCTCCACGCGCCCCCCCGGGCGCCGTGCAGGTGAACCCCCATGGCTTGCGGAGGCCCTGCCTCCTGCCCGCTCTGCGCGGGCCGCCTGCCCCGGCCCGCCCCCTCTGCCCTTCTTCCGCCCACCCCGCAGCCCGACGGGCGCGGTTCTCCCCGCTCCAACGGCGCCGGCGCCCTGCGCCCCCACACCGCCTGCTCCCGCACCGCCCGGCTGCTTTGCTTCCCCGGCTCGCCAGCGCCCCTGGCAGCCTCGTTCTCTGCCTCGTTTGGCCCGCCGGCGACGGCAGGTGCGCCTCTTCTGCCCCCGGCGGCTGGCCCGCTGGCCTTGGGCGTCCTTTCCCCGACTCTGCACCAGTTCGGGTTTGCTGCCGTGCCTCCGCCTCCGCCTTGCCTGGTTTTCAGGCCCCGCGCCCTCCTTCGGCGTGGACCCCTCTGCCCTACTGCCACGCCGGCTGTGTCCTCAGCCGTGCTACTCGCCCGTTACCCAGGCCACGACCCTTCCTTGTGGAGCTCGGTCCGCTCACGTGCGCCTTCCAGCGCCTGCCTGCTGGCCTGCTTGCTTCCCCCCCGCCACGGACGCCGCCCTGCTGCTGTCCCAGCCCCCTTCAGGCGGGGAAAAAACACACAGACACAATGAATCGCCGATTCTCAGGGAAAAATGCAAAAATATAAGAAGTGGGGGGAAGACACAAGCCCATATATATATACACACACACACACACAAGTGGCACGTGTGTGCCCAGGCTTATACAACAAGCTGAAGGGGCGTTTGAAGCAGGAGTGACATGCAACAGCGAAGTCGCACTCGAGCGCAAGTGGGGTTGCCACACCTTGCGATGTGTGTACCAGGGCCCCCCAGGAAGCCTCAGGAGGCCCGACTTGGATACCAGAAGAGGCTCCAGGTGGCCCCAGGATTGTGAGTGTTGTGTATGTGTGTGATGTGTGCTTTGTGAGGTGCATGCTTTTTGTGTGTTGTCAGTGTTGTGTGTGTATGTAGTGTGTTGTTGGGCGTGAATGTTTGTCTAGCGTGTGATGTGTTGGGCGTGATTTGTGTCTCTGTGTGTGCATGTAGTTCTGAAGCCCCAGGAGGCCCCAGGAGGCCCCAGGCGGCCTCAGCAGGCCCAGGAGAACTCCAGGAGGCTCCGAGGCGGGGTCTGGGGTACCATATATATATATATATATATATATATATATACATATATATATATATATATGTGAAAATATGAAGAATATGTTTATTTCTGTGTATCTATTTGTATGTCCTGGGGCCCCTTCACCCCTGCCGGCTGGCGGCCCGCCGCTGCCGGCTCCCCCGGCGGCGCCCGCCCGCCACGTGCCCCGCCTTGCGCTGAGCGGGCCCTGCTTCTCCCTGCTGTGCGCCCTTCCTCCCTCCCCCTTGCATGGTGACTCGATTCGCGTGCAGATCGCCCAGTAGGAGCCCTCTTCGCCAGCGCAGTCACTCTGCGTAGCCGCCGGCGTAAAAAGTGTGTGTGTGTGCAGAAAGTGTGTGTGTGTGTGTGGTGAATGCGTGTGCGTGTGCGTGTGCGTGTGCGTGTGCGTGTGCGTGTGCGCGTGTGCGCGTGTGCGCGTGTGTGCGTGTGTGCGTGTGTGCGTGTGTGCGTGTGTGTGTGTGTGTGTGTGTGTGTGGTGTGTGTGTGTGTGTGTGTGTGTGTGTGTGTCGTGTGCGTGTGCGTGTGTGTGCGTGTGCGTGTGCGTGTGCGTGTGCGTGTGCGTGTGCGTGTGCGTGTGCGTGTGCGTGTGCGTGTGCGTGTGCGTGTGCGTGTGCGTGTGCGTGTGCGTGTGCGTGTGCGTGTGCGTGTGCGTGTGCGTGTGTGCGTGTGCGTGTGCGTGTGCGTGTGCGTGTGCGTGTGCGTGTGCGTGTGCGTGTGCGTGTGCGTGTGCGTGTGCGTGTGCGTGTGCGTGTGCGTGTGCGTGTGCGTGTGCGTGTGCGTGTGCGTGTATGTGTGCTGTGTGCTGTGTGCTGTGTGCTGTGTGCTGTGTGCTGTGTGCTGTGTGCTGTGTGCTGTGTGCTGTGTGCTATGTGTTGTGTGCTGTGTGCTGTGTGTTGTGTGTTGTATGCTGTGTGTTATGTGTGGTGCGTGGTGTGTGATGTGTGTTGTGTGTTGTGCGTTGTGTGCTGTACGTTGTGTTGTGTGTTGTTGTGTTGTGTGCTGGTGTGGTGTGTGCTGTGTGCTGTGTGCTGTGGGTGCTGTGTGCCGTCTGCCGTGTGCCGTGTGCCGTGTGCTGTGTGTTGTGTGTTGTTGTCTGTGTTGCATGTTGTGTGTCTTGTGTGTTATGTTGCTCGTGTGCTCTGTGTTGTGCGCGTGTGTGTTGAGTGGTGTGTGCTGTGTGTTGTGTGATGTGCGTTCTGCGTTATGTGTTCTGTGTTCTGGGTTATGTGTTCTGTGTTGTGTGTGTTGTGTGTGTTGCGTGTGTTGTGTGTTGTGTGCAGTGTGTGTGTGTGTGTGTTGTGTGTGTGTTGTGTGTGTGCGAGTGTGTGTGTGTGTGCGAGTGTGTGTGCGAGTGTGTGTGTGTGTGCGGGTGTCCGTCCCTCTTTCGGCCGCCCTCGTCTTGTCCCGTCCCCCTGAGCGATCCTCGCTCCCTGTCCCCTCTTTCGGCCGCGCTTCCTGTCCCCTTCCATTTTCCTCCATTGTGGCACAATTCGCTTCAAACGCAATCCCGTTTTTATGGCCTTTTCGCCGGCGCAGTTGCTCTGATTGCCGCCGACGTGAAAAGTATGTGGGGGTGTGCCGGTGTGCGGTTGTGTGTGTGTGTGTTTGTGTATGCTTGTGTGTGTATGCATGTGCGTGTGGGCGTGCATATGTTTGTGTGTGTGCATTTTTGTGTATATGCGTGTCATGTGTGTGTGAGTGTCTGTCCGACTTCCTACTCCGCGCCGCTGCGCGCGTGGCCGTAACGGAATTTGTTTGTGTGTGTGTGTTTGTGTGTGTGTTTGTGTGGGGGGGCTGGAGGTGGACAGTGTAGACCGCAGTGTTATTTCAAAACGAGAGCCCAACACGGGAGGGTCGGGACGATTCAACCTCCGTCGCGTGGATTGTCCTCGGGGGTCGGCCCCAATCTCCCACATCGGTCTGGAGTGATGGGTGTTCCGAATGGGGCGGAGGTCTGCGTGTTGACGCCAACTTTGGGCCGTAGGTGGACTTCTCTGTGGGGCACTGTCCGCGTGAGGTGTGCCGAAATGGGCGTTGGCACGAACGCGTCTGCGCCCGCTGAGGCCCCGGGCGGAGCTCCTTACGGGGCCACGCCCTGCGTGAGGGGTGCGCCGACAGGTGCGCGGGCCAGCACCCGTCCGCGCCCACAGAGGCCGTGGGTGGAGCTCCCTGTGGGGCCACGACCCGCGTGAGGGGTGCGCCGAATGGGGCGCGGGCCCGCATGCATCTGCACCCTCTGTGACTCTAGACGGAGCTCTGCATAGGGCCACGGTCCGCGTGATGGGTGTGCCGACATGCGCGCGCGCTTGCAAAAGCTTGCACCCAGTGATACCGTAGGTGGAACTCCTCATGGGGGCCACTGTCTCCAGATGGGGTGTCTCGAGATGGGCGTGGGCCCGCATGCGTCTGCGCCCGATGTGACCGTAGGTGGACTTCCCTATGGGCCGTGTGGCCAAGATTTGCGCGAGGTGTGTGCCGAAATGGGCGAGAGCTGGAAAGAGAGGTGGAGGGTGAGAGATGAGAGAGGGGTGCGCGCGCGCTGCGGTGCGGATTCGAGACGAGGACCCAACAATACGGAATGGTTGGGAAAAATATGGCGTGCGTTGTTTCGCAGTTGTTTTCCAGGAACAGCTCTCAGGCCCAAGCGCGATCCCAAATCGCCCCGCGACCAAAATGACCATGGCCACGGGGGCGAAGCCGATCCGTGACAGAGGGGGCATGGGCCCCCCCTCGAGGATCACCCTGGAGCAGATCTCCAAGCCCGGATTCGGGTGCACCCTATGCAAGGACGGGCTGAAGAGGCCTTACCCGAGGGCGCCTGAGGAGTCGCAGGCCCAGCGGGACCGCAACGCCAGTCTGTTCGAGGGCCCGTGCGCGGTCAAGCCAGTGATGCCCCTGGTGGGCTCGTTCATGCCTGGGCTGGGCGGTGACAAGCGGAAGCGAGAGTCGGCGCTCTGAGGGGCGAGGTTTCTCCAATGTACCCCCCTTTTCTCTCTTCCTCTTTCTCTTTGTGTTTGTTCTCTCTCTCTCTCTCTCTATCCTTTCTGAAATCATTCATCTCCCATCTCTTTCTCATCCTCCCTGCTCCCTTCCCTCACTCCTCCCTCTTCCCTCCCCCTCCCTCCTCCTACTGATCCTCCTCCTCCTCCTCCTGATCCTCCTCATCCTCCTCCTCCCACTCCCCTCTCTCCCCGACTGGAAGCCGGATCAGAAGAGGCGGAAGAACGAGGGTTGAGCAGGGCCCGCGTTTTCGTTTTGCAGCCGCGCCGAGTGGGCGAGACTCCCCGCAAGGGCGGTTGCCGCGAGCGAACAAGAAATAGGGCCTCCCTTAGCTAGTAAATCAGCGAGTGTTCGCTCGTCTTGGATTGGATTATATCGGCGAAAGGCGACCAATAGCGCTCAATATCGCCAGATAGCGCCAAATAGCGTTCAAATAGCGCCCGCTAGCGCTCAAATAGCGCCCACTATCGCCATGAGAGATGCATTATGTCCGCTTTGCGTCCGATTGGGCGCGCTAGTGGTCGCCCTGGCGACGACCCAAAGCATTCCTGAGTTGCTTTCTAGCCTTCCTGCGCTGTAGTTCGGACCTCTCACTTGAGGAAGGCTGGGAGTCCGAGATTATCATCAGATCCGGGCGTTGCTGCGTTTCCCCAAAATCCTAAGATGGGGTTCTTGTTATTACTAAGGCGGCTCCAGAGTACACTCCTCATCCTCATTTCCTCCTCTTCCTCCTCTTCCTCACTCATGCTCTCTCATACTCAAACTCACTCATCACTCAGACTCACTCATATCCAGACTCACTCACACTCAGACTCACTCGTCACTTACACTCAGGCTCACTCACACTTAGACTCACCCATACTCAGACTCACTCACACTCAGACTCACTCACACTCGTACTCACTCACTCGCAGACTCACTCATATTCAGACTAACTGGCACTCACTCTGACTCAGATTTCCATATGTAATGTAAGGATGTCTCAGGCGAGGCCGCTGGTTTCAGCACCCCCAATAAGGGAGGCGCCATGGGGGTATCTCACGGGCCCGTTCGCGCCCAGATCGTGGGAATGCCTCGGGCGGTTTGCCCGCTGGCGTGCTCCACATCCTCTGACGTCAGAGCAGTGTGTGAGGATGTCTCGGGCGAGGCGCTGATCTCAGCACCCCCAAGGGGGGGCGCCAGCATCTCGTGCCCCTCTTCGCCCGATCACGCACCGAAAGCAGACAGCATGGCTTAGCTCGCGCCCTGGACGAAACTCTTCAGCAAGCGCCCCTGGACACGTCGAGAGTGGCGGGTCGCTTCGGCCAGCCTAGGATTTGGGGGCTGGTTTTCTGTTCGTGCTGCTGCTGCCGTTATTCCTTCTCCTCCTCTTCTCTCGTCTGGGAAGGGGGAGTCGGGGAGCGAGCTTTGGCGGGGGATCGCATCGCAGTTAAGCAGTCTGGCGTCGAAGGAGCCCTGTGAGAGTACAGTCTAGCGTGTTCTGGTGGTCAGTTCGTCAGCTCCCTTCTCCCCCTCCCCCTCACATCTCACCCCATCCTCAGCGCCAGGCCCTCCACCATGGTTCTTCCCAGCTACGGGCATATCGGCTCCAAGGTTGGCAGCGGCCGCGTAGCGAGCCACGCGTGTCGCGGCGCTCCCTCGTGGAGCGCCCAGTCGACAGCCATGGGTGACTGGGGCAGGGCTCATTTCGACTCCTCCGACTAGATTCGATTTCGATCGATTCCGATTCGGTGTCGGATTCCGATTTGAATGTAGGTTTCTTCATGGAGGCATTATTAGCCTGACGACTGCGCCGACTATATCACTCCCGATGTTGGCTGCCGATTCGCGCCGATCCGATGAATTTCGATCGCCGATCCTGCTTATCGATCCGATTCTGGGCTATCCTGCTGGGGGGTCCTGTGCGTTGCGCCATCGTGGTGCCCAGGGCGGGAAGGGGGTTCACCCTCGAGAGCAGCAGGCACTCGTTCTCCCACGGCCGCGCGTTCCCGTGTGAGCAGGCCCCGTGTTGCGTGTGCCTACTGAGCTCCTTGTTGTCCAAAGGGGGGGGAAGGAGGAGGAGGAGGAGGAGGAGGAGGAGGAGGAGGATGGACCCGTGTGCTTGTTCGTTCCCTGTCCTTCTGGTGTTTGCTGCCCTCGGCCTTGGCCCCCTCATGCGCGCGCACTCGTTGTCCAAAGCATGATGCTCCCCGCCTCCCAAGACACTGTCGACAGTTGTGTGCCACAATGTTCCGCCGGATCGCCCGTGGGGGCGCGAAGACAAGTCGCGCTTCGCGCGTCGCGGTCTGGGCCAGAGCGACTGCCCTTCGGAAGGGTGACAGCGCGAGGGCGCGTGGGCGCGAAGATAATCGCGTGGCGCGACGCGCGGAATTAGGTGACCCAGTTCCTCGCAGGCACTGTTGATTGCAGTTCGACCGATGGCCCAAATGCGCGTGCCTCATGATATGCGCTGTGGCGGGTCGCAAAACTGGTGGAGTAAGCCTCGGGTGCCGGCGCATAGGCGACCTTGCCATCGACTCGCAGAAGGAATGCGCCGCGTGCGAGAAGGCTGCCAAGGACGCCAAAAAAACACCGCCGAGGCCTCGCGCTACCGCTAACAGCTCTCTGCAGTGTTCTTATGGCGGCTCTCGAAGAAGCGAAATAGAGCATGAAGGGAAGTGTTTGGAGGTCCGCTCGGACCTCCGACAGTTTCTGTGTTTTCAGTCGTCGTGCTGCTCCTCGAAGTTTCGCGCCGCGCTGACGTGGCGGCGGCAACCCCAGCGCGGGCGTTCCAGGTTGAGCGCAGCCATTCGCCAGGAATCTGCTGGCATCGGAAGTCCGCGGCCACTCAAGCTTGAACCGTCCACGCAGTGTCGGAAGCCAGCGTCGGAGTCAACGCGGCGGGATCCCGTCGGAGCACGGCTTCCTCATGCACAGATCTGATTCGTAGATTGCTTGCCAGAACGGTTGCCCACCCATTCGAGTTCCGTTCGATCCGCTCAGTTGCACGGGCGAGGATGTGCCATCCCGCCCGATACGTTTCTTATACGTTGCTTGCAGCAGCGCGCGCCTTTAGTACACATTGCGCAGCCGCCAAGCCAGACACGGGTGTTGACGTCGATCGGTGTTCTCTCAAATGTTTGCCGTCCGTGTGAAGACACCGAGAGGTGGTATTGAACATCGCCACATGGTGTCGACCCCAGTCAGAAATCGTGATGGCAACAATCTCCCGTTTCAATTTTGTGAGTGGACTTCGGCCCATGCCGTCACCGTTTCCCGCCTGCCCTTGGCATCTTGGCAAAGCGGATTCGGCACTGCTCCGCTAGGCACTACCTCGTCCGCCTGTCTGAGAGCTGATTCTTCCCAGTGCCGGGGGTCCGAGGCTGCGCATGCAAGTCGTCCGATTGTGGAGGCTGCGGCTGGCCCCACCACAAGTCATTGCCTTTTGTTGCCGCGGCGTCGCATTCGGCCATGGCCGGCGCGGCCGAGAGTTCGCGCAGAGGTTGAGTTTGGCGAGCCCGTGTTTGGCCCTGGGCTGGCGCCTGGGCGGAGGGTGCGGGGGGGGACGGCGATCGCCGACGCCGTCGTGCCCTGCCCCCACAGGGTACGCGCCTTGCCGCTGCGTGTGTGTGTCGACAGTTTGCGCTGCGCCAGGGAGTGGGCAGCTCTCTCGCGCACTCCCCTCTCCCGCGTGCCCGCGGGGGAGACATCGTGCGTTGCACTGTATGGCTTGCGCGTGGTTTTCGGCGTGCCGTGGCCGACTGTCGGAAGGGGCCGCGCGCAGCAGCAAAACGCTCCTTGGCAGTAGCCTGCACGCATGTCTGAGGGACGGCGGCTCGCGTTTTCACAGCTTTCCCTTCGCAGCACCGCGGCGTCCACGACGCCCCCGGCCCCTCAGGCGGCCAGCCCCCATGTCGGTCTTGCAGAGCGGCCCACAGCGGCCCGCCAGGGGGGAGACAGCTTTACCACCAAAATTGGCGGCGAGCGAGGGGGACAGGAGGAGGCCTTCTCAGAAGGCGGCGGGGCTTCTCAGGAGCCCTCCGGCCTTCCGAGAAGTTTTCCGGTTCTCTTCAAAAGGTCGGGAGATCTCTCATTGAGAAGGCCCGCCACTTCTCATTTTTGCCCCCTGGGCTGGCCGCCGACAAGGGTAAAGAGTCAGGCCCGCAGCCGGCTCGCCTGGCTGCCGTCGGGAGCCCGCCGACGCCCCCCGCCCCTCCCGCTCGGGTGCAGCTCCCCCCCCAGGGGGGCGGCCAGCGGGCACCCGGGGCGGCACGGGGGGGGGGCGGGGACGACGGCGAGGCCTCGAGGTTGCCGCCAGGGGCCCGCACGGCAGTCGCGGTGCAGAGGCAGCGGGCCAGGGGCAAGCTGCAATCACAGTCGAGCGCGGAGCCAAAGCCAGGCCGGGAGATGTGGGCAGCGTCGTTGAGGTCTGCAGGGTGCGCAGCCACGGGGAGGGGAGGACAGGGATGGAGGGGACACAGCGAGCAGCCCGCGACAAGCAGAAGACACTTGCTGCACAAAATTGCAGACCCCAGCGTTGTGCCCTCCCGCTGGGCCGGAGGGGGACGGAGACCGCACTGAGATTGTGAAGCTGCGGCGGGGCCGCCCCTCGACAGTGACAGCAAGTTGGCCACCTCGCGGCGGCAAGGCAAGACGGGGCGTTCGCAGCTGCGATGTACAGAAACGAGGAGAGGAAATGGAAAGAAGGGGCAGGAGACCCGGCAAGCAGCGAACGAAAAGAATCTTCAAACAGAGGCAGGGAAAGCGGAGGACGGAGCACAGCGCCGAATAGCTTGCCCCATTTTGGCAACGTGCTGTGGCGTGCGTTTGGGGCCAGCGGCATAATGAAACAAAGTCTTGTGCAACAAGTCTGGCGCAGAACTTCTGGGAACAGCCCCTGCACCATCCTCGTGAAACAAATAACTAAACAGCGCGTGCCGCAACGCCACAGGCGCCAGAGTGGAAGATCAAGGTTCCTGCCTGCGCAGCTCCGACAGGGCCATTTGCCTGTCGCACGTGCTACACACAGCCCATCCTGGCATCGCTCGGACTTGTGCGTTTTTTTTTTTCCTCGGCGAGGACCATCGAGGAGTATCCTCAATCATTTGGCGAAAAAACCACGCACGAAACCGACAAAAAACACAGGGAATGGACGTCCGAGCGATGGCGAGCCATAGTTCGCACCGAGACTAGAAGGACGGCCCCGCCACCATGGCCAAGCGCATGCCCAAGCTGGGGGGGGGACAGGGCAGCCAAGGCACGATTGAAGGGCGCCCAGTCCAGCAGGGGGCTGGAAGTTTCCCAAGTGTTGCCCTTCAAACGCCCGCGGGGGCCCTTGCCTCGTTTGGCCGTGCCAGCGGGAAGAAAGAAACAGTACCTTCCAGGGCCAGAGGGAGGGCCAGGGCGGACCCCCAGTCGTGGGCGTGGTCCTTGGGTCTCCCAGCGCGCCTGGGTCCACGACGAGGAGCGACGACCACGGCGTGGCGAATGCGCGGCCCCGGCGGCGTCCGAGCATCAAAGGACAAGCCGTTATAAATGCCAAAGCCGGCCACTATCTTCAGAAGATCGGCCGTCGGGTTTTCGCGGCGACAGTGAGCCGTCGCAGTGTTTGCCAAACTCGCCCACGTACCGCAGAGAGCGCGAGCGCCACCAAGCGGCACTGGCCCGAGGTTTGGTTGCCCTGGGGTTGGTCGGGGGTGGGATCTGCGGGAGAGCGCTCATTAGCCTTATCGGCAACTCGCACGTGCCAAGTCGGGCGGGGCCGACTGGGCCGACCGACTCCCTGAAAAGGTCATACGCAGATTACGCGCATATGTGTGTGACTATGGGTGTGTGATTGTGCGTTTGTGTATGTGTGTGCTCGTGTGTGTGTATGTTTGTGTCTGTTTGTCTGTGTGTGACCGTGTGTGTCTGCGTGCATGTGGTGTGTGTGAGTGTGGGCGTGCGTGCGTGCGTGCTGTGCGTTCGTGCGTGCGGTGTTTGAGTTTGTGTGTGTGTGCGTGTGTGCGAGCGTGCGTGCGTGTGTGTGTGTGTGTGTGGATTGTGTGTGTTGTGTGTGTTGTGTGTTGTGTGTTGTTCATGTTGTGTGTGTGTTGTGTGTGTGTTGTGTGTGTGTTGCGTGGTGTGTGTGTGTGTGTTGTGTGTATCGTGTGTATTGTGTGGTTTGTGTGTTGTGTGTGCTGTGTGTTGTGTGTTGTGTGAGATGTGTGTTGTGTATGTTGTGTGTGTTGTGTGTGAGTTGTGTGTTGTGCGTGTGTTGTGTGTGTTGTGTGGTGTGTGTTGTGTGCGTGTTGTGTGTTGTGTGTGTGTTGCAAGTGTTGCAAGTGTTGTGTGCTGTGTCTGTTGTGTGTTGTAGGTGTTGTGGGTACTCTGTGGTGTGTGTGGTGTGTTGTGTGTGTGTTGTGTGTTGTGTTGTGTGTGTGTGTTTTGTGTCTTGTGTATGTTGTGTGTGTGTCGTGTGCGTTGTGTGTGTGTTGTGTGTTGTGTGTTGTGTGTTGTGTGTTTGTTGTGTGTTGTGTGTTCGTTGTGTGTGTTGTGTTTGTGTGTTGTGTGTGTCGTCTGAGTGTTGCGTGCGTGCGTGTGTGCGTGTGTGCGCTTGTGCGTGTGCGTGCGCGTGAGTGCGCGTGTGTGCGAGTGTATGCGTGCGCGTATGTGTGCGTGTGCCGGTGCGTGTGCGCGTGTGCGTGTGTGTATGTGTGTGAGTGTGTGTGTGTGAGTGTGTGTGTGCGTGTGCGCTTGCGTGCGCGTGCGCGTGCGCGTGCGCGTGCGTGTGCGTGTGCGTGTGCGTGTGCGTGTGCGTGTGCGTGTGCGTGTGCGTGTGCGTGTACGTATGCGAGTGCGTGTGTGTTGCATGTGTGTTGTGCGTGTTTAGTGTGTGTGTGTTGTGTTGTGTGTTGTGTGTTGGTTGTTTGTGTGGTGTTGTAAGTGTGTTGTGTTGTGTCTGTGTTGTGTGTGATCTGTGCGTGATCTGTGTGTGATGTGTGTGTGTGTTGTGTGTGTGTTGCGTGTGTGTTGCGTGTGGGTTGTGTGGGTTGTGTGTTACGTGTGTGTGTGTTGTGTTGCGTGTTGTGTGTTGTGTGTTGTGTGTACTGTGTGTGTGTGTTGCGTGTTGTGGGTGTTGTGTGTTGTGCGTGTGTTGTGTGTTGTGTGTGTTGTGTGGTGTGTGTGTGTGTTGTGTTTGTATGTCGTGTGTGTCGTCTGTGTTGTGTGTTGTGCGTGTGTTCTGTGTCATGTGTGTGTTGTGTGTTGTGTGTTGTGTGTTGTGTGTTGTGTGTTGTGTGTTGTGTGTGCTGAATGTGTGTGTGTGTCGTGTGCGTTGTGTGTTGTGTGTGTTGTGTGTGGTGTGTGTTGTGTGTTGTGTGTGTGGTGTGTGTGTGTGTTTGTGTGGTGTGTGCGTGTGTGTGTGTGTTGTGTGTGTTGTGTATTGTGTGTATGTGTGTATGTGTATGTGTGTATGTGTGTTGCGTGCGTGCGTGCGTGCGTGCGTGCGTGCGTGGGTGGGTGTGTGGGTGGGTGGGTGTGCGTGTGCGTGTGCGTGTGCGTGTGCGTGTGCGTGTGCGTGTGCGTGTGCGTCGTGTAAGCGTGTGCGTGAGCGTGTGCG